CTCCTCGGTCCCCACGGCCGAGCTGCGCTCCTCGGTCCCCGCGGCCGGGCTGCGCTCCTCCGCCGGGCGCCTGCGCGAGCTCGACCCGCCCTTCATGGCCGCTCCGGTGTCGTCACCGCCGCGGTCCCGCAGGGGAGGGCGTGGCCGAGCCTCCGTAGACCCCGCCCCTGTCTTCCCTAGCCCCGCCCCGCTCAGAGGGAGAGTGTGTGCCCAGCTCGTGCCATGCTTAGCGCCACAGAGTGCGTGCTGCCTGGCTGTTTTTCTAGCCTTTGCGCAGTGTTTCCGTTCTGTGGGGAGAAACATCCAGAAGAGTGGCCTTTGCTTCCCTTCATTCACCCTCACCACCTTCCTGAGCAGCATTCTAAATTCTTGCATCCTAGCCTTTCAGTGTGCAAATGGGTGTTACAGGTCTCTGTCTACTTTCTAGGAGATTCCTGGGTATCAAACAAGAGCCTCCCCCGCACACGCACAAGCTCTAGGCGTTCACTAACTAGAGGGAAAGATACACCCCCTAAAAGGTCTCCTGTGGCCGGCAGCCTGAAGAGGCTGCTGCTAATCTTTTGTGGAAGTTAGAGGTGGCCAGGGATGATCCACACGGCTGTCTGTATTCACAGAGAAATGATCACTTGTGAAAGAGAACAGTCACAATTTGTGATAAAAAAAAAAAAATTGTTTCTAGTTGCAAAATTGCGTGAGCAATCCAAATGGCCATAGATGGGACGGGATCACACTGCGCAGTGCAAATGATCGGACCTTCACATAGCCGCTCCTGATGCTAGAAGAATGCTTACTGCTCTTGCGGAGGACCCACATAAGGGGGCTCACAACCACCTGTAACGCCAGTTCCAGGGGATCCGATGCATGTCACTTATACAGTCATGCGTGTTGTTACTTATTTTTAGGGTTTTTGGCTTCTCCCTTCCATACCCGAATTAATTATAAAAATAGATTTTTTTTTTTTTGGTGGGAATTCAAAAAAAAATCATGCCAAGACTTTTGGAGCATTTAAAGCCCATCTGCAGAAGCATGTAGAGGCACACAGCACACATTTTACCAGTTATAGCAATGTGGTTATCCCATTTCGCTTCCCTTCTGGTATTTCTTTTTCAAGTCTGTGTCAAGTGTCAGTTCCTCGTTAGGGTGCGGAAAGGTGTCTCTGAAGTAGGACAAGGAATTAGGATTTTGTGTTTTACATCATCTCTTGTATTCAGTGTCCTCTCTGGACTCTGTACTTCCCCCGATCACTCCATGGTAACTACCCCTGAGGTTGACCACAATTGCCCTCATCAAGGGAGAGGCCCAGAAACTTTCAGCCTCCTGGTCAATCTTTTCAGTTTTTCCCTTTGGATACAACGCATCGGGGAGTGCTGTGGTGCAGACAAACATCTCCCGTTGTGTGATCTCAGCGCACCGTCATCACTTCCAACAGAAGTCAGAAGTCAATTCCCCTTCTTCCACCCTGCCCTGCTACCAGCCCTTCACACACACACTCATCTTCCTGTTACTACGGTTTTAGACCTGGATGGTCCAGGTAGAATTGTGTAACATGCCATCTTCCATGAGCAGCTTCTTCCACGCAGTCTGTTTTCAAGGCTTGCTCACTGTAGCATGAGAAAAAAATGTCATTCTTGGCCGGGCAGCAGTGGCGCACGCCTTTAATCCCAGCACTCAGGAGGCAGAGCCAGGCCAATTTCAGTGAGTTTGAGGCCAGCCTGGTCTACAGAGCGAGATCCAGGACAGGCGCCAAAACTACACAGAGAAACCCTGTCTCGAAAAACCAAAAAAAAAAAAAAAAAAAATGTAATTCTTTAAGGCTGAATAATATTCTACTATATGGAGATATATAAAGTGACTGATGAACATTTGGGTTATTTTCTATTTGTCTACTATCAATAATTGTACCATCAGTGTTCATGGATAATGTAAACATGTTTTCAGGATTTCAGTCTTCCTGGGTATACACTTGGAAGGATTGCTGGGTCACGTGATAATTCTCTCTAACCGTTCTGAGGAACTGCCTGACTTTTTCCCAGCATGCCTCTGCACTGTTAAGTCCCCACTAGCAACACAGTGAGGGGTCCAATCACTCCACATCCTGGCCAACACTTGTTAATATCTTGAAGCCAGTGAGCTTTGGTGGAGTTTTTGTAAGACAAGCAACCCTAAGTGAATGGAGAACGCTGTGTGCATCTCAGTGACAGTTCAGACACAAGGGGTACGCTCACCCCCTAGTCAGCCACAGGCTACAGAAGACAGCACAGCATGATCCACCTACTTCCTTTGCCTGTGGTATCCCCTTCTCCAGGGGGAAATGTGTCTCGGATGGTGATCCCCGGAGAAGGGAAATGAAACGTTAGGGCATGGGGAACCAGTCACAAATGAAAATTCGTGGACTTCGCTCTGGCCCCCGCGAAGCTGGAGACTCTGAGATGGCCCCCATCTGTGACTCCACGTGACTCTGCTGCCTGCTCAGGTTCAGGGGAAGACAGGGGCACATCATAAGTGACCATGAATACACAACACATCTCTCATGTCTCCCCAAATAAGGATGTCAGCACCATGGGAGAGACCTTTTTTATTTGGGGGGTGGAGTGTTGGTTGTGTGGATGAGCAGGGTCATGGTACAGCCCATGATAGCCCTGAACTCTTAGTTCCTCCACTCCGTCTCCCAGCACTAGAATTACAGGTGTGTACCATCATTCCTGGCTCCAGGTTTTTTTGTTTTTTGTTTTGTTTTGTTTTTTGTATTCAGTTGTGCAAACCCAGGGAGATGCAACACCTTCTATTGAAGAGGGACAGTGGATATCAAACGTTCACACAGAAACCCCAGGTCAGCACCAACCAAGGCAGGCAAGAAGGTTCCCTCAACTTGCTGGCCCCAACATTCCTAGCCATTCACAATCTCAACAGCCTGCTGCCATAACAAAGTGGAAGAAGACATCATGGGAGCTTCACAGAAAATCATTCCCCACACTGACAATGACCTCCCTGACAAGCGGTGCACTTCAGACACCCAAAATGGTCTTTGAGTATGTGTACGTGCATGTGACGGGTCAGATCCAGGGCTTTGCACAGAACCAGGCAGGTGCCCGGCCACTGAGCTATATATATCCAGCTTCCGACAGGACTTCTTCAATTAGGAGAAAATGTTCCCTGAAGAACTAGTGTATGTTTTTTCACACATGGTCATTAAAAGATTTCCACTTCCTACCAGTCTTAAACATGGTTACCAGGGTAGGCAATGTGTCTTCATGATTACTGGTCCATCACTCCCTTCAAACACTGTTAGATCCACAGATTCTCTGCATCTTCACCAGGAAGCATGGCAAAGCAAGGTTTTCCCTGCTTGGCAACTTCTATCCAGGTTGCCAGGAGACCAGTATACACTCTGATGTACAGGCAGACGCAGGGGAGAGTCTGCGTGGGCTGAACAACCAAAGTCAACAAGACACGAAGTTCACAAAAGCGCTTCCATCAAGAGTAGAAGATCTGGGATGCCACTCAGGCGTCGAGTCCGTCACTCAGTGGCCTGTCTTTACAGCATCTCTTTTGACTGAGACGTCACCGTGTCTCTGAGTGAATGTAAAACCTTCTGGTAAGTGTCCAGAACATCCTGAGCCGTGGGTCTTTCTGCGGGGATCTGGCTCTTACATGCCTTGTGGATATCAAATAAATGAAATCGGACCATATCACTCCCTTCCACATGCCCCAAAAGGAAACTGGAGACATCCGGAATCTTCCAGATGTCAATCTTCTCATCATAGGAGGGCATGAGATCATCTTGGAAGGGCGTGTCTTCTCCGTAAGGCCACAGCTGCTCCGGTGCCACAAAATCCCCATGGAGCTCCCTGTGGCCACACTTCACAAGTGTCCCAGAGTCGTGGTCCACCAGGGGCAGGGCATCCAGGTCGTTTGCCACGATGCTGAAGTTACTCGTGAGAAGATACTGGGACAATGTTTTGGGCAGGTCGTTGGAGTCGCACATGACCCTCGTGCCCAGGGGGCTGCGATGCAGGTAGTTGATGATGCCCACGTACTCCACGGCCAGCTGGAGCCTGTGCTGCCAGGTGTTCACCCCCTGGTACTTGGAAAGGTTTAGCGTTTCTTCCAGGTTGCTCAAGGAACCTAAGGGGTGATATTCGGTAAGAACGGTGCCGTCTTCCTCGCAATAGCCGACCAGCGTGACTACGCGCTCACTCTGCAGAGACTTCAGCATCTGCAGCCCGTGGAGGAAGTCGTCCTTCATCTCCAGCCTGGTGAGCCGCGAGAGGGCCACTTTGTGTTCCTTCCACTCGGACAGAAAGACCTGAAACAGGGTGGCGGAGAATGTCAGACCCGGGCTCGCGCCAGAGCAAGCCGAGACACAGACACCTCCTAGGAGGCAGGCGCGATGCGGGGGACATGGGAATGAGCCGGCTACTGGGTCCGGTCCCTGCCATCCCAGGACCGCGAAGACGGATGCACACAACTCTCAGAAAGGTGGACCGCTAGCTGAGCCGGGGAAGGGGAAGAGCGGACTCAAGGGGGAGACCTCAGGCTCTTCCAAAGGCTACACGGAACCCGCGAGTCGTCATGTTCCATGGTGGGAAAGAGCCTGCTCTCGGCTGAAAGAGGAGGCAGGAAGGCTCAAGACCATTCCCAGGTGTATGGCTCAAGGAACCGGGTGGAAAGTGACGCCATCGACTCAGAGGGGGCACAGCGGGCCTCAGGGAAGACATGAGCAAGCATTCCACGCCGAGCCAGCTGCAGTGACACTTACTTGTAATCCCCAAACTCAAGAAGCTGAGGCAGGAGGATCATGAGTTTGAAGGCTCTATTCGAAAGGAAAAACAAACCAACAAGAGAGGTCCACACAGGACACGGTGACATTCGGAGACCCTCCAGGGAGAGCTGTCACATAGACAGTTGATTGTACGGCTCTAGGACTCGGGGAGAGATGGGGACTAGAGAGAACCATCTGGGGATTTATTAGACATATAAAAGCAATAGAATTAGACTAGGTTGCCGGGCGGTGGTGGCGCACGCCTTTAATCCCAGCACTCGGGAGGCAGAGTCAGGCGGATCTCTGTGAGTTCAAGGCCAGCCTGGTCTACAGCGTGAGATCCAGCACAGGCACCAAAACTACACAGAGAAACCCTGTCTCAAAAAACAAAAACAAAAACAAAACAAAAAAAAGAATTAGACTAGGTCTAAATACTAGATTACATCTAGAGACACAAGGAGATGTCTCCTCAGCCTCAGCACTGCTCCGTTCAGTCCAGACAGCTGTCTATAGACGGACAGGCCTGTCCTGGGAGGTATAAGATGTTGGGCAGCTTCCCCGGCCCCCATCCCACCGAAGGCCAGAAACAGCTCCTCTCTCCAGCGGTGACAACCACAAGCGTCTGTACACTTTGCCATCTACTTCGGTACTGCTGCCGGCTGAGAAGCAGGCTTCAACCGGGACAAGGACAGGGGAGGCAGTAAAGGGGGGCCGAGGAAGACGGGAAAAACACGCGATTCTGGAAAACCAGAGTCTAAGGACAAGAAGCAACCCAGTCCACGGTTGCTAACGGGACTAAGAGGAAAGCAGTATTTATTCGAGTTGCAGTTAGCTGGTGACTTAAAAAAAAAAGTGGTTTCCTGGTGTGTGGAAGCCACAGCAGGGGAAAGATGAAAGCAATGGAGAGCTCTGGAAGTTGGGGTGGTGAGCGGAGCTTTCCCATCACAGAAACAGAGAAAGAGCGGCAGCTTCCGAGGACCGGGCCATCAAGAGAACGGAGCTGCTGCTGTAAAGTGTGCTTGTTTTTTTTTACAGGGATGGGAATCCAGGATGGGGTGGGAAAGACTGGTGATCCCCGGGACCGGGGCCACTCGAGAAGCACCGCTGTGGGAGTCAGGACGGAGCGGGCAGCGAGGTACACGCTTCCCAGAAAGGACGAGGACGCTGTCTGCGGAGACTGCTGTCTTCCCAGCTCCTAACGTAAGACCGTTAGCCAAGACAAGGGTGGGTATCTGAAGACCCGTGGGTCTTCGGAGCAGGCATGGATCACTAAGGCCTGTTGCCCGGTGCGGAGAGCTCAGACTCCTCCTTCACTCTTGTCTATCATGTTCTGCATATCTTCTTACCTAACTGTGCAGTTGAAGACTGTATACTCTACAACTGGGTAACACACTTCCTTCTTACTATCCTAGAACTTTTCTTCCTGAAACTAACTGGAGTTCCTATCTACGCCTAATGGCTACACAATTAACCATGCTTCTAAAAATATGTGTGTATATATAGGTGTGTATCTATAAATATACACTTTTTTTTTGAGACAAGGTCTCATGTAGCACAGGCTGGCCCTGAATTCCCTACACAGCCGAGGATGGCCTTAAAGCAAGCACTCTTCTCACTGAGCTACACCCCCAGCCCCTCTCCCAAAAGTGTCCCCACCGCCCATTTTATAGTACTCTTTAGACACCTGTCTCCTCCGTTCCTCCAGAATTCACTATGATTCACTAATATTCCTCCACGATTTCACTATGTCAGAGTTCCCGATCTGAGACTCCTGGGCCCAAGGACAGAAACACAGGTTCTTCACGGCTCTTTTCTCTTGTTTGTTTTTAAGCCAGTATTCCGTGATGTTGCCCAGGTTGGCTTCAAAGTCCCTGCTCTAAGCAATCTTCTCTCTCTCTCTCTCTCTCTCTCTCTCTCTCTCTCTCTCTCTCTCTCTTTTGAGATAGGGTCTCTTAGTGTAGCCCTGGCTGTCCTGGAACTTGCTCTGCAGACCAGGCTGGCCTCGAACTCAAGTGATCTGTCTTCCTCTGCCTCCCACGTGCTGGGATGAGAGGTGTGCACCATCACCACCACCACCACCGCCCGGCTCCAGGCAATCTTCTTGCCTTAGACTCCCAGGTACACACAGCAGGCCCCACGGCAGCTGGTGCCAGACAAATTGCTCCCCCAGAGCTGCCGGTGACAATGACCCCGGGGACACGGTGGACACTTACTCTCTTCACGGCCCCTTCCCCCACGCGCCTCAGCTGCCTGACGTCGGTCCTCAGCTCCTCACAGGACAACCAGGGCGAGCAGTTTCTCATCCGTCCCATCCGGAAGGAGCCGTGGGGACAGCGCCTGGGGTCCTCCGCGGATCGAGGGGAAACGACAAACTGGTCGAGGCAGAGGTAAAGGAGCACGTTCATGAGGGCCATGGCCAGCAACAGCCCAACGCCCCGGGGGACTTCTCTGTGGGGGAGACCTTTCCTGTTTCCAGGCTGCTGTCCCATGTCAGTTCCTACAACAGAACGGGAGACAGGGGGTGTGTGTGGCACCATTGTCCACGTGGATTTCCACGGGGGGTGTTCTGAGGCCACTCGTGGGCTCTGTCCGCCTCAGTGTCCCTTGAAGGTGAATACCAACTACCGCGGGAGCTGCTCTGATAAACACTGTTCTCCCTTACTAAAACGTGGATCCATCTAGCCTGGGTCTGGTCTTTTCCTCCCACAGGAGCCGACGCTACGTGGACGGCCTGAGTGTCCATGGGTGTTGTGGGACTGGGACTGAAGATGGACAGAGACACTTAGCTAGTGTAGGAAACAGACCAGGGGCTCCTGAGCTGAGAAGTTGGGGTGCTCCTTGGACGGTACCCTGAACGAGCTGGTGACACAGCTCAGGGAGCTTCCAGCATGTGCAAGACCCTGGGCTTGAACCCCAAACACAGCAACAACAAAATAGTTAGGCTTTCTATTTTGTGGCTCGGGGGACTGAACACAGGGCTAGCTGAGCACCCTGGCCCCTAGCGACGGCCCAGAGAAGAAGCCAAGATAACGCGTAGTGGGTGCATAAGGTGACTCTGGGGTGGGAAGGCTGAGGTGCAGAAATTAGCTAACAGGCGCTGGCGATAATCCGGGACAAGAGTCGACACACTTGTGAGTGAGAATAACTGACAATATTTTCTGGAGGGGATGACTGGGGAGACACAGGCAGTAGGGACCCAAAGAATCCAGGACAGAGGCCACTGCAGGGCCATGGCGGAAGGACCGTGGCGGAGGGACCTGGAAGGGGACAGGCCTGGGATGGACCCTCGAGCAAAGGATGCTTGTCCCTCACAGCGCTGGACAGAGATGTTCCAAGGGGACTGTTAGACTGGGTGGCACGGGGGCCCAGAGTCACTATGGCCAAGGCTACCTTCAGGGGTCTCTTCCTTCTCCCATCCGGGTCCCCATCCACGTGCCCGGGTCCCTCAGTGTGGCGCTGGGTCCCACATGGCAGCTCCCGACCTCTGTGATTCCATCCCAGGAGATCTTCTGGCCTATGGAAGTACTGCATTCACACGGTGCACACACATACGTGCAGGCCAAACACCCACAGACACGAAACAAAAAAGAATTCTATCTCAGCTTCAAGTCTTGTCCCCCAAAGCGATTTCTTGTACACAGTTCTTGTCAGTAAAGAAGGAACCTCCCCCTCCCGTTTCTAAGCCAATGAGGACAGGGCTGAAGTGTTGTCCCGGCAACACGACTACTTTTAATCCCCAAAAGCTAGAATTGACAGTTCAGTAACGTCACTTAAGACAACAGAATTCAAGGCTGGCATTGATTTCTGCTGTCACCAGGCCGTGCTCAGTAAACCCTGACTCTGCAGTCACCTTGGTTTCATTCAGAGGCCACCCGGAGGCCATCCTGCGCATTCACCCCACAGTCTCGGGTCAGCCCCAGCAGTATCCGGGTCACTCGTTCCTCTTTCCACAGGGACCTGAGGCCCTCATCTTCATGCCCAGGCCTCTCCCCCAGGCCACCTTCAGAGACTTAACACTAGCAGCGTTTCTACTCAGGCTGGGGCCGTTTCTCTTTCATCATACTTTTAAAAAAACTTTGTTAATTATTATCGTGTCTACCATGTGTGGGTACGGGTGGGCACACGTTACGGTGTGCAAATGTAGAGGTCAGAGGACAACTTTGTGGAGCTGATTCCCTCTCGTGTCTTTAAGGGGTTCTGGGGATGCAGCAGGCTTGAATCATCTCTCCAGCTCACCTTTCATAATCCTTAGAGGGACCAGGGGTGTCGCAACTTAGACCTTAGGTCAAAGGGTTGCAACTTTTTTTTTTCTGTTGTTGTTGTTGTTGTTGTTTTCCTAGGAGTCAGTGTCAAAGTCAAGGGATAACCTTATCACTGATGTGAGGTGCAGAGAGATGACCCGATGTATCATCTCGTCTGTCACTCAACTCTGTTGCCAGGGTATGTAAGAACAGCCCTTACAGAGTACAAAAATAAGCATTCGGGAGGCAGAGCCAGGCGGATCTCTGTGAGTTCGAGGCCAGCCTGGTCTACAGAGCGAGATCCAGGACAGGCACCAAAACTTCACAGAGAAACCCTGTCCCCAAAAAAACAAACAAACAACAACAACAACAAACCCCCCCTGTGCTTTCTCACAAAATATCTCTTACCCAACATTTACAAAGATAAAAGTGGCCAGGAGGGACTGGGAAGGTGGCTCAGTGGTTAAGAGCACCGACTGCTCTTCCAGAGGTCCTGAGTTCAATTCCCAGCACCCACATGGTGGCTCACAACCATCTGTAATGAGATCTGGTGCCCTCTTCTGGCCTGCAGGCATATGTGTAGACAGAACACTGTATATATACTAAATAAATCTTTTTAAAAATTTTGAGAAATAAAAAGATAAGTCAGGTGGTGGTGGCGCCAGCGTACGCCTTTAATCCCAGCACTCAGGAGGCAGAGGCAGGTGGATCTCTGTGAGTTCGAGGCCAGCCTGGGCTACAGAGTGAGTTACAGGACAGTCAGAGATACAAAGAGAAACCCTGTCTCAAAAAGAAAAGAAAAAGAAAAAGTGGCCGGGAATACAGCTACCTGGTAAAGCGCTTGCTTAGTTCAGGAGTATTAAAAAAAAAAAAAAAAAAAGGGCAGTGGATTGTAGCTGGCCAAACCTGGCATTAGATGAGAATATGTCTTCGAGGGTGTTGAGGCCGAGGTAACCTCCCCTCAGGCAGTGCCTCTGGCAACCCTCCAAATGCTTACAATCCCTAAATCTATACAGTGGCCGAAATCTTTCTCCCAACACTCAGAAGGCTCAATGTCTGGGATGTCCACTGCTGACCTTCCTCCCCAGCACATCCCTTCTTTGGGGCCCCACTCTATCGTGGGGACACAACCCACTCATCATTCATATCACAAACCGGCGTGATTCAATGCCTCCCTCCCTTGACTCAGAATCAGCCCTACACATTGCCCTTTCCTGACTCCACCATGACACACGCCACCAGCACCCCTTACCTGGGCTTCTACATCGGATTCCTGCACGGCCTTTCATTGTTCCAATCCATTCTCCACACAGCAAATTGGATCTTCCTTCTTCAACACAATGCTTCAAGGGAAAATAAATAAATAAAATTATGACCATCTATTCATTTTTTTTGTCAATTTGTACTTGTCCTGAATATATTTCAATTTAAAAAAATAACATTTTTTTGGGGGGTGGCATATTGGGGCTCCAACCCAGGGTCTTGCACAGCATGACCTAGAAGGAGATACTGGGACCTCAGCCTGTGTCTCTCTGCTTCCAGGATGCCATGAAGTAAGATCTCCTCCTCCACCGCTGTCTTCTCCCATCAGTGTCCCCTCCCACCATCGCCCTCTCCAGCCAGGATGTGCGGAATGACCACAGACCACAAGCAAAAGTCACCATTCATCGGCAAGCCATTAATGCATTTGTTTCACATGGACTGCATTTTATGCCTTTTAGCTAAATCCTCATAATTCTGAATCTCCCTAGAAAAAGGCAACCATCCTTAAACTCAACCGTTCACACGGTATCGCACAACATCAAAGTCAAAACAATTCTGAGGGGTAGATAGAACCGTTGATCTCATTTCCCGGAGAAGGGGACGGACTCAAAGGTGAAGGCACTCCGCCAAGATCTACACCGTGTATGTGGAAGGGCTGCCTCAAATGCACCTTCTTCCTCAGTATCTTGCAAAGCCCTGAGAGGGGAGGCAAGCTTGAACCCAGCCTGGTCACTGGAGGGGGCGGGCACCGCGGCTGGCTGCCTGGACCTTAAAGGAATATGCTCTGGCACTGTTTAAACACCAAGGCTGCTTGATAACGGTGAAAAAGGACCAACTGCTGTATGCTCACTGCTTAGACAAAGAAAATAAGGCAACTAAATGAACTGCCAATATGCAGGCTATTTTACACGATTCCGGGTGTCGGCGTTAGCATACAATTCAGACTAAATCTCACTTTCCGGTAATCATTTTAAATATTCTGGATGCTATTTAGTTTATACAGGCAACGGGTGGGGATGTCAAAACTCCTAAACGTCTAAATACTGCTTTTTAACAAAAAAGGGGGGAAGGAGGGTGAGAAGGGGCGAGGGAGGGGGTGAGAAAGCGAGAGCACTTCGGACTGTCTCCGCTCACACAGTTGAGGAGCAGCGTCCGGTGTACAGGGACCCGGAAGGGGGTGCGCGGAGAGCACCCGGCGGGGTGTGTACGGTAAGCACCCAGAGTGGGGAATGTACTGCGAGCACCCGGAGGTGGGTGCACGGTGAGCACCCGGAGTGGGAATGCGCGGTGAGCACCCAGAGTGAGGAATGCTCGGTGATCACCCGGAGGTGGGTGCACGGTGAGCACCCGGAGGAGGGGTGAGCGGTGATCATCCGGAGGTGGGTGCACGGTAAGCACCCGGAGGAGGGGTGCACGGTGAGCACCCGGAGTGGGAATGCATGGTGAGCACCCGGAGGTGGGTGCACGGTGATCATCCGGAGGTGGGTGCTCGGTAAGTACCCGGAGGAGAGGTGCACGGTGAGCACCCGGAGGTGGGTGCACGGTAAGTACCCGGAGGAGGGGTGCACGGTGAGCATCTGGAGGAGCCGCAGCCACCACCTGCTTCAAGGCAAGGCCCAGCTGAGCCCCGTGAGAGCCGCGTCATCCCACCCTGGGGCTGGGTCGGAGGGTCCAGGTTCGGAAGGGTCCCGCAGAACCCCGGCCTGCTTCACCATCCCCCGGAGCCTACCTGGCGACCACCAGACCCGGCGACCACCAAATCCGGCTCGCGGCCCACGACGCCTGCGCGGCCGGAAGCGGCCCGAGGCGAGCGCGAGGCTGCCCCCTGGTGGCCGCACAATGGATGCCCGCGGCCGCGCAGGCACTCTCCACCCAGCCTCTCTCTGGCTCTGGCTTCCACTCTCCAAATGCATGAATGAATGCCAGGATGCAACAACCAGGTGGAGCCCGGGGCTGAGAACCTCGGAGGGTTGCTTCGTGATCTCCACTCTTTGCAAAGCTGTGGCTGCCAAAGGGTGGTCCTCAGAGCAGCAGCGTGAGCATGTGTCCGAAATGAAATTCTCAGCCCCCTGCAGACCGAGCCCCGCCGTGCTTCTAGATTTGAAAACTACATGTAAAGATGATTTGGGGGCTTCGACCTGAGACAGAAAGCTAACTTCACAGATTTCAGGTCCAAACCTCAAGCTGGATATTTAAGTGATGTAAAAGGCTAGAAGATCCCAACGTGCCACACTAGTATCTGTACTTGATAGGAAGCGAGAGGGGTAGGGTTTCGAAACAGAAAATCAGACCTAACACTACCTAATTTGTTGTTTGTTTTGAGGGGGCCAGGCAAATATCATGACAGCCTGTCCTAATAACTCAATTAAGAACGAGACCTCCTCTCCAGGACCCTGTTTAAAATATACGTATTATCTATTTCTGATCTACTTTCCAGGTTTGAAATCAAATATGGCACGCGGATTTTAAAAAATCCATCTGTGCTTATTATCCAAACAATGAGTGTTAACTCCAAGCATGCTGAAGGACCTGGGTTCCATAGATCTAGGAAGCACCAGAGGGGTGGAGCAAAACGAAAACACTCTGTAAGCCACTTTTGTCTCCCAGAATGACGTGGGACGGGGTGGGCGCGGGAGGGGGGAGTATACAAAGGCCAGGGATAATAGCTACCCTTGGAGCTGGAATTAGAAGCAAGCTTGAGCCACCCAATATGCGTGCTAGGAACTAAATTCAGGTTCTCTGCAAGAGCAACTCATGTTCTTTACTGCGGAGCCATCTCTCCAGTACCAAGAATATTGATAGTAGAAAATATACCTGCATGTATAACAGTAAGAGTTTCAGAAGTAAATTATATGCATTATATCTTAAAGCCATTAAAAACACTGCTTAATGAATACAGGGTTTCTGCTGGAGACGATGAAAAAATTCTGGTGATGATTGGAGGTGATGGTTGCATAATCGTGTGAAATATGCTGGATGCCACTGAAAAATGCACTTGAAAATGACTAAAATAGGGGCTGGAGAGATGGCTCAGTGGTTAAGAGCATTGACTGCTCTTCCGGAGGACCTGGGTTCCCGTCACCCACGTGGCAGCTCCAACCATCTGTAACTCAGTTCCAGAGGATCTGACCTCTGAGGGCATTGCACACGTGATACAGGCAAGGTGTCCATACACATAAAATTCAACACCTTTTACAAAATGACTAAGATCATAGGGTGTGTTATGTATAGTTTGCTATAATAAAAAAAAATGATGCTGTAGGGGCCTGTGAGATGGCCAGCAGGTAAGGGTGCTTGCCACCAAGCCTGACAATCTTAAGTTCAATTCCAAGGAGCCACATGATGTAAGGGGAGAAAGGATTCTCACAAGTTGTCCTTTGATCTCCATATGCACATGCATGGACACACACACACACACACACACACACACACACACACACACACGTAATATTAAAAGTTGATTTTTATGTATTGACATGAAGAGATGCTCATAACATATGGGTGTAGTGGTTTTAATGTTAGGTGTCTCCCGTAGGCTCCCATGTTTCAGTGGTCCTTTGGGGGTGAGACTGTTTTGGAAGTGGAGCCCCGCTGGAGGATGCGAGGCTTTATAAAGAGGCCTCACTTCCTGTTCACTCTCTGCTCCCTGAGCACAGGTGCCCATCTCCTGTGCTCGCCACCATCCTCCCCCTGCCCGCTGCTGGATCTTCTTGAAATGATGGCCTGTATCCCACTGGAAGAGGAAGCCAAAATAACACACCTTTCTCCTTACGTTGCTTTTGTCAGGGTATTTTATCACAGCAACAGAAAAGTAACAAAGTAAACAAAGTTAAGGGTAGGGAAACAATCCCATGCTTTAAAAAATGTATTTAATGTGGTGGTGGAGGAGGGTTGAACCCAGGGCCTCATGTTATTCTTACGAAGTGGAAGCCAATAAACCAGAGATTTCAAGAAGAAAGGACCAGGGAGGGGACTTTCCAGAAAGATGGAGCTGACACCTGCAACTTCTCCTGCAAAGCGCAGCTTCAAGGTCAAGACAGAATCAATGCCACAGCTGTTGGTGGTGGATCAAGGAAGGCCAGAATTTGACACAGCACGAACCTGGTCAGGATATGTCTTTGTTCTGTTTTCTTCTGACCTGAACTCCATATGGCTCTAAACCTGAAACTCTTCTGGCTAAGCATAGGGCAGAATAGGACTGGAGAGAGGGCTGGAGAGATGGCTCAGAGGTTAAGAGCAGTGGCTGCTCTTCCAGAGGTCCTGAGTTCAATTCCCAGCAACCACATGGAGGCTCACAACCATCTGTAATGAGATCTGATGCCCTCTTCTGCACATACATGCAGACAAAACACTGTATCCATAATAAATTTTTAAAAAAATCTTAAAAAAAAAAAAAAGGCATGGAGCAGGAAGGAGAATTCCTAAGTCAGGAGAGGGAGGGAACCCCACATTTGTTCTGTCTTTTCTCTGTTCCCTTACCAGCCACTCACAGCCACTCACATCACAGCAGCCAACAGAAAGCTGGAGCCAGAGCCACCAGCTGGAACCTTCCTTTCCACCCAGTGGAACTGGACTCCCAAGAAGCCCAAACCAGCCTCCCCACGCCTCTGCCCACCCAGGTGCATTGCTGTGGCACAACTGTGGAGATGTTCTCGTGTTTGAAGTGGGGATTTTTCTTTATTCTTGGGGACACATGTATACAGTGAATTAAGATCGCATCCTCCCCCATTTCCCTTCTCCACCCCTCCCACCTTCCCGACATGGCCCCTTCCCAACTCCAGGTCTTTTTCCTTCTCCTCCGTTTTCATAGACCGCTGGCTTTGCCCTCAGAAAAGATTCTCCCTCCAAAACAGCTATCAACTGGCAACTGCTCCTCAGTGAGGGGATGGGCCAAGAAAGCTCCCCCCCCAAATCCATGCTGGAATTTTAGTCGGCTTGGTCTTGTGCTGTGAGTTCACGAGGGCAATAGCTCTGGCATGTCCAGAAGACAGCCTCCCACGGCACTCCCCATCCTCTGCACCCTTACATTCTTCCCGTCTCCTTTTCCTCTGCCAGGGTGCACGTGTGCACAGTAAAGATGCCTCGTTTAGGGGTGAGCACTCAGTCTCCACTCAGCACTTCGTGCTGGGCTGACTGCACCGACTGCTTCTTGATGGTGAAACTATCTGGGTCTCTGGCCGGAGAGCTGACATGGGTTCTCCGTGAAAACAAGAAGGACTGGATATGCGGGGTGTGGTGGTACTTGCCTTTAACCCCAGCACTCAGAGGCCGACTGACCTGCACATGAGACATCTGATTCCAGGCAGCATAAGCCACTTTGAGAGCTAGGCTAATGATGAGTGTTCTACTCATGTCCCAACTAATGCTGAATGAGGCACTCATGAAACTCTTGAAACAAACATTAAAATTCACATTACCAGTAAGGGGCTGGCAGGATGGCTCAGCAGTTACTGTTCTTGCAGAGGACCTGAGTTTGAGTCCCTTCACCCATCCTGGGTCACAATGCCTAGCTCTAGGGGAATCCCAGGCTTCTGTGGGTACCAGCACTCATGTGTTCATACCCACACACATAATTAAAGATAAATCTTTTTAACAAATTCCCAGTAAAGAAAGGCAGGAAATTCCCAGTAAAGAAAGGCAGGAAGTTGAGAGACAAACACAGATGTAATAGCAGAGTGGAGAGGGCAGGAAAGTGATTATGAAGACTGACTAACAGAGGCAGTTCCTCTGCGCATGGGAGGCAGGGTCTGGCTGTCTCTTAGCCTCTGGAATGCTGGAACGACAGGCGTGTATCAAATGCCTGGCTGTTTTTGTCACGGCAGAATCTCACTTGGTTGTCTGGATTGGCAATGGACTTGTCGTAACCCCCTGCATTCAAATACAAAACTAGAGATTTGGGACATCTGCAAGTGACAAATACTAATATAACATGTTAAAAAATTAAAATGTTAATAACACCGTAATGTATTTTAGGTGGAGAAAACTCTTCACGGTGATCTCTTTAGCTGTGGTTGGGTGTTCTAACACTGAAATCCTTTAGTCCGAGCCACTCTAAGGCCTTTCCAGCAGGTGGCGTCAACGGCAGAGACAGAAATCCGAGGATGTACGTTTTCAGAGCCTTTGAAGTTCATTTCTCCCTACACTGCCTGTTCTCCCCACTCAAAGTGTTAGCTCAGTCTCTGATTTGCTGCCACACAGCAGGTATGCTTCCGAAGAAGGTGGCATGACCTGGAGCTGGCAGCCAGCACTCTGGTTTCATTCCTCCTACGGCAGTTTCCCTGTTCCAGTTCAGGCAGCAGGAACTGTTGTTATTGTATAGCATGGATCTGGGTATACTTCTAGAAGATGAGGCAATGACGCTGTGAGCTATCTATGTTGAATAAGTCCACAGTTTAAATTATCTTGAGTAGATTTTGTTGCTTAAAAAATGGACCAAGTCCCATTTTAACAAGTTTACATTTCCCTCACCACGATCACCAATTTTATAGCAATATTTTCTTCATGATTCTTCATTTTTTTTTTTTTTGGCACCATTTTTTTTTTTTTTCTTTTTTTAAAATAAGGCCACACTCTGTTTTCTGAGCTGGCCTGAACCTCTCTATGCAGTCCAGGCTGGCCTCAAACTTGCAGCAATCCTCCTGACTCAGCCTCCCAAGCACTAGGCTCCTTGTTGGTTCTAAACTGTTAGAATGTCCCTTGCATAAAGTCAAAACCAAGTGACTAGGGTGCTGTCGTTTATAGATCATGTGTTTTTATTATAAAACCCTTCTTTTGGCATTAGT